TGATCTGTCGAAGGTCTTGCAAAATGAGGTGATCACTGAACCACTTCTGATTCCTTGTGAGCTCTCTCTCTCTCTCTCTCTCTCTCTCTCTCTCTCTCTCTCCATTCACTTCCTCTATCAAGCAATCCCTTTCATGAGCCGTAGGAATGCGATATCCAGCCAGTGAGATTGGTCATATCAACCTGATAAGGAATGTTCAACTCCATCTGAACCTCAACTTTGTAAATAAACAAATATATTTATTTATTTATATGTATAGTGGAGCACCAATCATATTACATGCCCCAAGATTCTCTTCCCTCCACCTCCCCTCTCCTGTTTATTGATTGCCAAACATGTGAAAGGAATTCCTATGTTCCCTCCCTCCATCTTTTCCTTGCTACTCTCCTATCGCCAACTCTTTACTTCACTTGGTGGTCCTAAGATTGGAGATCTCCCGACAGCACTATCACACCATGTCTTGAGAAGACCACCTAAGTCTTTAAGAGCTAGGTCCTATCCAATTCTGACACTGGCATGAGTGTTACATGGAGGGAACAATCACCCTCAAATTCTGGTACTGGACGCCTCTCTAGTGCTCCAACAAGTGCATCCATGGCCTCCTCCTAGTTCAAGTATCCAAAACCCTCTCTTGTTACCCATTTCAATCTCCAGTCCTGCGGCTTAAGCTGGTGCAGTTCTGATCCATGGGTTGCGACAGTGTACATGAGTTGATGCAGAGGTGCCCGAGCAGAACAATTTTAATCTCCATTCCACTCCACTCCATGCAAGAAGGCATCCTCCTCCATGATTTCTCAAGTTGAGGTAGGCAGGACACTGGGACAACTCCAGTTCGAGGGGGTCCGGAAGACGGTCCCCCAGAGCACCTCACGCAGATCTAACGATGACTTCGCTTCAGCTAGTGTTATGTAGTGATTTGTATCCACCATGGATGGATGGATGATGATGATGACCTCAGGAGTCGGTGTCATGAGAGTTGGGCAATTTTCTTGGAGACACAACGGGGCGGGGGGGGGGACAGCAGAGTGGCTTTCGTTAGGACAGTGCCACCATTAATACAGAGCTGAGAGTTTGGTGCCGAGCGAGGAGCCCAAAGTTTGAGAGATGGGACAGATGGTCGGACGACAGTGATCTGTCCCTGTGGAGCAATCAAGAGGGTGAAGAAGCCGTAAGGGGAGGAGGGTAGAAAACAGTTATTGAAGGTGGGGGATGGAGGGAATGACTACAAAATTGGTGAGACATGCAGGAATTACAGCAACTCTGCAGATAAAGAGTTCAGTCAATATTGTAGAATGCACACAAAGTCGATTTCACTTGTTGGTACTCCCACAGGAACCTTCTGACTTTTCTCAGGCCCATGCTTGCCAGTAGTAGAATGGCTCTTTCCGCTCTCCTGCATGCCGTAGAATCGTTAGCTGGACTCTCCGCTGCCCTTCTTCTTGCCAACCCCGTTGGATTTCATGAAACCAACCTTCTGTTTCCTCGTCGGGAGGACGACTCATTTCGAAGCGCACTCGACTCTGTCTCTCCTCCTTTAACTTGTTCCAACCATTCCAATCCACCTTCTTCTGGTTTCAGTGTCTGCAAGTCACTTCATCTTGCACAGAGAAGCCAATTACTGTCGTTGGGTTGACAAACACTTTTGGAGGATTCGATGAGTTCTAATTAGATTCAAATTCTTTAAGAGATTAAGATTCGATATATTATTTGAGTACTGATCTTTTACTTTCAAGTTCATCTCGGCCTCCCAAATAACTACGTACCGATGTTCTTTAGTTGCTTTCACGTAAAGAAACGGGGCCCAATTTTGTATCCACATATGATGAGTCGTTGCATGCATTAATAATTCCTCTTTTAACTCGCAGGCTCTCTTTGTCTTCGCAGTTCTCTTCCACAAGCGCCGTTCCATGCCATGATCATTAAACTACTATATCAGCCTAAACCCAAGTACACCAGACGGCAGGCAGAGCGGCTCAAACATCGCCTCCGGTATCACAAAACCTACTTATCGATTCCCGCAGCAACGCCGGATAACTACTTCCCACTGCTACCAAACAGCAAAACTGAGCCTTTTTCGAGCTGTAAAAAGGCTACTGCTGTGTCTTGGGGAAAAGAGAAAGAGAGCAAATAAAGGGGAGAAGGTTGATGATGATGGTTGCCACATTTACCATTCCCCTGAAAACGACACCGTACCATTGGGCGTCCCGCCCTCCTCATCCATCTCCGACTCTCCGTTTCCCATCCGTCTCTCACATCTTTTCTTGCTGCTTGCAAAATCTAGGTTAAGTGTCATTCTGAGAAAAGCAACCTACGTGACAGTTATGTGAATCCACCACGCATGTCGAGTCGTTATCAGTTACGTGACCGCTCGCCATATTGGTTTCGGTAATCGCTTCTCCTTCCTTGTCATCCTTTTTTTCCTCTCGGTGACATTGAAATGTGATAGTGCATGCTCCCACAGCAGAAGGCAATCCGATAGCTACGTAAATTGTATTGTTATTATCTTCAGATGGAAGATAGTTTAGTGCATTTATTCGACACGGACTAAGTTGGGAAACGAGGTGAATATATATATGTATATAACAGGTCCTCCTGTCAATCAATTTATTTGATCTTAAGACAAGGATTGTGTAGTCCTCCGTCACAGTCGTCCTACATGAACACCTGTAGGTGAAAAGAGAGTACGTTTCCAGTAAAAGCATGTTTAACTTACTGCAACTCGCCGTTCTAGTCCATGGTGGTGGAGATGGCCACAGCCCAGGACCACTTACAACGCTCAGACAAAGAAGCTTACGGCCATAAAGAATCCAGTGCCACCTACCAATCCCTGTTCAAAGCAACACACACACACACACACTCAGAGATGGACAGAGAGAGAGAGAGAGAGAGAGATGCATTCAACTAAGTTCATGGCGTGTACAGATGAGAAAAGAGAACACGAAGGAAGGTTGGAGGTGATGGGAGGTCAAGTTGGTAGTAGTAGTAGTAGTAGCATGCAGCAGTGAGTAACAGCAGCGGGTAGTACTTGGAAGTTGTTTGAGTAGCAAAAGCCTCTTTAGTTTAGCATCATCCCTTGTCAGCCCTACACCAATTGCGGTCCCACCTCCATGTTTTGGTTCCCCCTCTCTTCTCTTTTCTTCTCCTCTCCATCTCTATTAACTCTCCGATGACAAATTGAACCACCACCACCACCGGAGAAGAAGAAGCACAAATCAATACTCCCTACCCTTCCCTCCTCATAGCGGCATAGTCGACCGGAGTAGGCGGCTCCGAGACGGGCGCGATGGGCGAGCAAGAGACGCACAACTTCATGAAGGTCAGCGTCGACTCCTTCTCCGAGCTGCCCTTCATCCGCCCCGGGCCAGCTCGCGAGAATGCATCCCACACGAGCCCTGCCATTCGGCTCTTCGGCATCGACTTCGCCACCGATCCAGACGCATCACAAGATGGCCCCTCCGTCGACCCTCCCTCCTCCACCACTGAGACCAGTAACACCCCGGCGGCCGCTACCACCACCACGTTGACTGACAGTGGCGAGAGCTCGAGGAAGTTCGAGTGCCACTACTGCTGCCGCAAGTTCCCCACGTCGCAAGCCCTCGGCGGGCACCAGAACGCCCACAAGCGCGAGCGCCAGCACGCCAAGCGCTCCCATCTCCATTCGGCTATGGCCTCCCAACACTACCACCACCACCACCACCCCAGCTTCATCGCTGACGGTCATGTCTACGGCTACCTCGACTACCGCCATCTGAGTTCCTTCCCCTCTGCCTCCCGTTTCGACCACCCGCCCCCGACCCACTACCCTTCATGGACTAGCCACACCGGCTCGGTCACGAACCCTGCGGCTCGCTTCTACGGCGGCCTCGGTTCCGCATCTCAGCTCATAAACGGTAGCCCACTCCCGGGGCCATGGAGAATGCCGGTGCATGGCAGCACGGCAGGCTTGCAAGGGAACCATCCCCCCGCACTGCCTTCGTTCGGAGGAAGAGACGCAAGGAAGATGGCAGTGGAAGGTACGGGTGGCGTCGGCTCTTCTTCTTCCTCCTCTTCATCCTTGGCTTCCCCAAATGAGCAAGGTGGCTTCGATTCTGGTTCCAAGAACAGTTTGAGTTTGGATTTGCATTTGTAGTTCATCAAGGATCGGATACCAAAGAGTTCGTTAATGAATTGCAATTTTCTCTTACTTATTGCCTCTCTTATCTCACAAACTCGTTTACATCTCTCAGACAGTTTACTCCGTGGGGTGCCTTTTTCTTTTATTCTGTCAGATTCACATATGGAAGTACTTACTTGGTTCCCTTTTCTTTTTTGTGAGCAGAAGAAGGGCCAAAACTTCAAGATTTTCGAGTCATTGCATATACTATTTTTACCTCTCATTCTAATATTTTAGAAGCTGAGTGTTATCAACTGTTCAGTGTTTATAGCTTAGCTGAATGCAAGATATAAAGGAATAGACACCACATATGATTGCAACACTGGTTCAGGAAGTGTCAGCTTAAACTGGCCCCATTCACCACTGAGCATTGTAACTAATATCCTGCATTGCTTAGAGTTCCTTCCTTTTATCTTTTGTGGTCTTAGATGCATCTTGTTAGGTTATCACTTTTGTTGTGCAACTGCTGGGGAGTAAACTTGCATGAGGATTGATGTATTCTTTAAGCATACTCAATATTGAAATGGTTGCTAAATGTTGTCTTTGATTCTTTAAACATGTTTAGTTTTGCCCCATTTTAAGTAGGAAAACATATTGAGTCTCAGAACTGTTCTAAAAGACTGTCATGCTCTTCTTATCTTTGATCCTATTCTTCAATGCTGCACTACAATTGCATGAGAAAACATCCAGTAAAATAAGTACCACAGAATTGGAAAAGCCATAGGATCTGAGAAATCAAATGCTTGGTGAGCTCTCATTGCTTCTTAGGTCTCTGTGATAAAATAGGATCATGAAACCAAGATAGACTTGGTTTCCTAAGATTTGTTATTTCAGGTGCACTAGTACATGCAATAGATAGATGTGTTCTTGCTCCAGTCATTGTATAATTATCCTACTGTACTTAACCTGGCATGGTTGGACATTTCAAACTTCAATTCTGATCACTGTGTGATAGGAAGAAGATGAAAGAAAGCACTTGATTGGCTGCATGGTGGGTCAGACTCCTTTAGTGAGCATGGAAGACCAATCTGAGACATTGTGGTACAATTTGCTATAAGAAAGCTACAGATCATTAATGAATGGTTTCCTCTAAATGTGAGCTCCACCACTTATACTGCAAGTCACACTGTTACAACTGCAACTCATCAGTAGCTTAAAAAGAGCACCATCTCCCACCCCAATCAGAAGGAATAAATAGATGAATAAATTGGAATAAAATGTATGTCCCTCTTAAAGTTAATTTATTCCTTCTAGCTGAGTCTCATGCTTATCAATGCATCTGATTGAATCTATTTAATGTTCATCAACTTCAATCTATTCCTTCAAAAACTATACTTCCCATTTCAAATTTATTCGACCTGACTTATTTTCAGGACCACATTCTGTTAAAATAAATTATTTTTATTTCTTTCAAATATAATAACGCTCGAAAAAATAAAATTTTACTATATCGGATTGACGAAGGATATAATTATTTACGATCAATCATGACCTTCGGGTCTCAAGTTGAGGATTGAAATTGCTTTTATAATAACGCATAACATAAGAAATTTTTTATTATTTTTCGAAAATATTGTAACTTTTATCACCAATCACCACTAAAACCAAAACCAAGAATCTAATTAGCCCCACAAACACTATGGATATAAGACATTTAATGGCCGTCAAGTTTCCTTGATCTAAATGAATTCCTTGATCTAAATGTTAGAGCTCTGTCCTTACATGTGTTTGACAAAAATTGAGGAGCAAAACCCATTCAGCATTTTGCAGCTTTATAAGAAATTGTAATTGTCATTAGCAACTCCGATAAAGATGCTCTAACATGCTTTTTACATTATATTATATCGTTCCATATCAATATAGAATATATAATTAAAAGATATAGTATGCGCAGTCAAAAAGTGAATTTTTTTTTTGAGAAGCTTAATATAATAAAAAACAATAGAGAGAGAGTAAATTAAAAAAATAGAGAAGTTCCATTGAATAAAAATTTAATGGAAAAATTTTCTACACAGTAATATATATATATATATATATATACGTAAAGAATTTGTGTGTATATATTAATGATAAAATTAATTGAAAATAATTATTCATAGTAAATTATATATTAGTTGGTGTAATATATTAGATGGACCGAGTGAATCTTCCGGTCCATCAGGAAGGGCTTCCGGGTTCTCCGGTCCGGTTGGTTGATCGGACCGCTCCGCGACTCGGACCGGCATGCGACCCAACTGTACCTTACAGAGTGGGGAAAGGAGCATATCTTAGCCGTCTGCCCCATTCGAACGACAAGTTCGACCGAGGGTTTGAAACCCTAACGAATCGAGGACGTAAAAGAAATAGCAACCCGTTTGGATCTGTCATCTCTGATCGTGTCGTTCGCCTCGATGAGGTATCTCCTCCACGGTTTTTCTCTTAATCCAATTTCTTAGCAGTCCGCCCTCTGGCAATTGATTCTTTCTTTCTTCTCTTCTGATTTGGTACCTTCCTTCTCGACTCGGTTTAGTTTAGTGTAAAATTTGGGCGAGTAGTCTTATCTAGATTGTCATCCATGTCTTTATGTTCTTGGATCTTATTACTGTCGTTGAGATGTTCCCTGTTTTGTTCTTGGTGGTAATGGAACACATCATAAGTACCTTTTCTTGTAGATAAAAGAACTTTACAGCTTTCGATAAATTAAGGCGAAATTGTCGGAGGTAATGGAACACATCATAAGTACCGTTTCCAGAGTCTGAGGTTGCCTTTGTGACTATGGCCAATTGTCGGATGTGAAATGAAATGCGGCTGCAGAGCACAGATCGGACATGAAGCATGTAAATCTTCAAGTAAAGAAATCCATACCGATCTGGAAAAGCAATATACAGCTGGGCTTCGGCGAAGAGATGGTCGAACTTGGTTTGTAATGACATCAATTTTCTCTCCTCTTTACAAATGCATCACAGACGTGTGGTGAAAAACTTGGCAAGCTTGCTTTCCATTGTGCAAGAACAGTTTCATGCTTGCTTGTAAGCCACTGTTATTCCATCAGATTTTAATGGAAAGTTACTTGCGTTGAGTATGCTGCTGCTACCGGTGTTTTGGGTGTAAATTTTCCCTTACGAGTACTTACAGGGGTGTCCTGCCAATACACGACAATTGTAAACAGTAACTGCTACCATCAATTTGCAACTCTACCAAAGGTTTGAATTCTGCATCCTGCATGAGCTAAACTTGATTGTGTCAAAAACAAGACTGCAAACAGTGGATACATGTTTCTTCGTATAATTGTTCGTATGAACCTGAAGAATGTACTAGTTGTATAGGGAACAGGAATAACATGTTATTTTCTAATAGGGTTTCTACCCATGCAGCTGCTGCTAACTAGCACGAAATCATTGATCGGGTAGAAGAGTAAGATGTGGGCATGTGCAGATGTTTTTTCTTCTAAATTAAGGGTCATCATTTTGAGTACCAAACTTATCTTTGACGATTTGGTTGGATTGGTACATCTCATATGTTGGTATACCGATATGTTTTCATGTTTTAAAGAGGAAAAAAGAAAGGATGATGGAGAAAGAAGAGAGAGGAAGAAGAAGAGGGCTTGGTAGAGTAAGCACGAGGAAGAAGAGGGGAAAAGGCACACCTATGAAAAACAAATTATGGCAAAGGTGGTTGGGCATTACGACGATGTGCGATGAGGTCACAACATGTGTGAGAAGTGAAGGTCTGCGGGAAGCGAAAGCCACGGACGGCATGTTTCCTTTTTTATCTTCACAAACTAGACCGTCCAAAATAAGAGCGGTCCACATTTCGATTGACGAGGATTCGTGTCATGACCTTTGCATAGCTTGGAACGTTACGTACCAATACGTGGATTCATTGATGCCCAAACCAATACATACTGCCCGTTTAATATCTATCAGTTCGGATGAAACATCTCTAATTCTATGTTAAATATCGACGAAAGACAAATTAATTTGGACCTCAGTGTTTGGATAATTGATTCAAACTCACTGAGGAAATGGATCAAATAATAATTCATCGGACCACAAAAAATCTTCTCTAATTAATAAAATTGAAAGTTTCTCTTATCGAGAATGGAGTTAATACTCAGCTTATATGCTTTGCACGCAGCAGACATATCAATATGATTACCGATAAATAGTTAAAAACAATGGTAAAATACCACAAGATTTACAAAATCAAATGCAAAGGGTCATCAAAACATGTGATTATTTTTATTATTTCTGATATCCTTCGAAAATGGAGCCAACAGAAGCTAATAACAATTATGTTCATACCTTAACATTATATCAGATCTTGTATTAGTAACACTCAACGTTAACACAGTTGAATTGCATGGATAACAAGCATTGCAGTCAGAACATCAGAATCCTGTTCTGATGCCACATAACATTTTTCAAACTGACGAGAAAATGTGGCAGTTCTACATTGCGAAATTGGAAAAGTAAAAAATAAAACACAATGACCTCTTTCTTCCGTGCTATTTTTTTCGAATTCCACAACCTACAACAAGAAAATCAATTAAAGGTGTCAATATCTGTGTTTCCAGCTTGTAGAAGAAAGATATGCATATCAAACATTTAGTAGCAAACAAACATCTAGGATAGTATAGTATATTAATTCATGAATTTTTACTATATATTTCAAGATCAGCTGAAATGAATACAAAGTATTGATACTTTGGGCAGATAATAACCACCGCTCTAATCTTTAATCCATTCTAAAAACCTAATTTTTAAGCCTTTCTCCCCCATTCATATGCAGAAATCTTAGATCTTACTTTTTCTAATAGGCTCTATGCGCGTATAGGATGGGTTTTTAAACAAACCTATGCCACTTTTGAAGGGCCATTCTGATAACCCCTCTTTATAGTGCATTATGTTCCATCTCCATGACTTGTAATATTCATATTCTTCCATATGGTAGAATGAGATATAATCATTCAAGGTGTAAGAGTGAAAGAGACCGTATGAGTATAAGCCAAAGAACAAGATTAATAATAAGAAAGAACAACTCACTAGGGGCTGGCAAGTAAAACAAACATTGTTTTAATCTTTTCCTTTTAATAACCCAAATTATATCCATTGTATAACAAGATCCATTTTTTCTTTTTTTTCCCATTTTTAGAAATCCAATGTTCAAGTTAATAGGTAGATTTCATGGTCAAGAACTACACATAATTTATCATCTTATGTTGCATAACTTACATATAGGTTCCCAAGATGCAACCTCAATTCTTCAAATTATACTCAAGATAAAATATCAGTTTCATACATGATTGGATTAATGTAATTATTCATGAAACTCTCTTTTTATGAAAATGTCTTTCTTCTCAGCTTTGTTGATGTAACCCCTCCTTGTATATCCACTCCCTAGTCATCTCCTTCTAGCGATGCTTCAAACAGAGACTCAGGTTAATTGTGTGTGTGTGTGTGTGTGTGTGTGTGTATATATATATATATATATATATATATATATATATATATATATATATATA